TTTCGAACATCGAATACATTGCTGTTAGCGCTCTAGTATTCTTATTATATCTCTATGGATTTTATTCAAACTAAGGTCTCCCTCCAATTAAAGACCACTTTTGGGACCGGGGTTTTCATGGTCTTTAGCAGCTTTGGTCTCTAATTAGAATAATAAAAATAAAAGACAATTGTAAATTTGGGACCACAAAAAAGTGGTATTTCATTAATTGGAGGGATCTTTCATTAGAGTAAGACCTGTATTACCAAATTGGTAAGCATGTTAAAATGAGATGAAAACATGTCTATAAAATTTTCCCCTAACTAATAATGATCCAAAGAGACCCATTTTAATTTTTAGTTAAATGTGGTAAAGTTTTAAAGTGTAATTAAAAAGCCTTGTTAATATGAAAGTAATACAGCATATAGCTAGCATTAGTTTTGATATCAATACAACAAGCAACATGAGGAAGTAAGCTACAATTTGGAATTAGCCATACTCTTTGAATAACTCTCTATGTAATCTGTAGATATTTTCAATTTTATTATGTTAAACCATGACTGGAAATCCATTAAAAGCTGGTACAGTAATTATGAACAAGCATATTCCTAATTTTAGAGTTAACATACCCAAAATTTGCCAGAAACATATTACTCTGTCGATCAAAATTGTAAGTCAAGTGAGTTCAAGTTACCTCAAGGTTTGAAAAATAGAAATTTCTTATATAATTAAGCTATAGTCTAATGCCATTTTTAAAAACAGCTAAGAATATATAAATATCTTTAAAAAATAAATAAAAACTATGTCATGTCTGTGATTTTAAATATAAAATCAACTGTTACAGATACAGTAAGTGAAAGAATCAGTATTTTCAAGTTATTATTACCATGGAGGAAATAATTATTTCCTCCATGTTATTACAGTAGGCCTAATTACAAAAAATATGTGGCAAAGACTAGCCAAACCAGTCACTCATCGCAAATCCTGTTACAGAGATAATGATCAAAACATCCTGGCAATCGGATGTCAAAATTTTTTAAAATCTGTATTTTATTTCACTAAACTAACATTTATTATCTATATATCATGCTATGCTGTTATTTTCCCCATTTTCAATGTTAAAGCAACAATTTTTGATGGTTTCTGCCTGAAATCCTAAAATTTAAAGGCTAATTTCTCAAATATTGTTCTTTAAACAGCTGTATGTTTAAACTCATGTAACTTCATAACA